TTTTGCTCATCTGTTTTGTTTTGTTTTGCCTTTTTTGTTTCGTTGCTTTGCGTTCTGTTAATTTTGTTGTTGTTGTTTTTTTTTTCGCGTTTTCGTCTCTGCAGTTATACCAAGTGGTGGGATCAGGCTGTGGTCAACTCTTTGCCCCACCCCACCCCTGACGGTTTGTATACTTTTATCGTACTACAGTGTGACATTAAATGTATTATATTAGTCAAGTTAAATACTACCATGTTTTAATCTCAACCTTTCCATTCCTTGATTTGAATTCATTGGAGCTTTTCCTCACAGTGATTCAAGAGGACGGTATCATGCTATTTCATAACTTCCTTTGTACAACTGCGAGATAGTGTCTAACGACTCTGTTATGTACACGTACGGGTTTCTTTTAATTATCATTGAAGGAAATAAGCTGAATTATTTGATGCGCAAATATAGTCGAAGATTTGCAATAGAAAACTGTCGTCCTCTTGTCACTCGCGCGTTGGGATGTTACGCAGTGCTGCGTGACACCCCAATGAATCATGGCGAAGGACAATAATACAACTAGAGATGAAATTAGGACGCCACAGCACGCGGAATCTACCGCAAACGAGTTGGTTTTTTCCACTTGCGCGCGGCTTCGGCCTTGAACTTTTGCGACGTCATTGTTAAATCTATGGTAACAATTTTGCAGAAACGCCACTGGACGACGCAGGAAACAAGGAACAAAGGGAAGACCCCTGGCAGTACTCAGACTCTGCAAATCATGAATCGGTAGACATGTTTTCAGAGTATTATCACCCGGATAACTTGACCGTCTTCGAGACAGTGTATCCTCATCGTATGCAGAAGTCTTGTAGGTAAGCGATCAAATTATGGTATCTCATTAGTGTGTCAGTTCAATCTCAAGTAAACGGGTTTTGAGAATAAGGAAAATTTATTCTTATGTGTATTGTTTACAGCCTCTTCTTTTCCTGAAGTCTAGTTATTACCTTGATTTGTCGCCAACTTCGGGAGACTCTTTGGAAGGAATTGACTGGGTTTTTGGTGTGTGTCTGTGTTCTACAATGCGGAGTGTAACGAGCTCCGGGAATAGCAAGAGGGAACCTCACAAAGATTTTTGTTCGATTAGACTTTGGTTGAATATGTACTGAATGTCGTCGTTCTTCTTGGAAGCAAGATCTTGTCCTGATATTTAACCTGAGAGAAAGTTTATCGGAAATTAACGGTAAATGTATAATGGGCAGTATCAAAAATAAGAGCTGTTTTTATTTTCAGGGATTTCATGCCACCAACTGCTCATAATCATAGTCCCTTTGTAGTTAGAGCTCCTGCAAAGTCACCTGGGTAAGTGCTCGACGGACATCCAATTTGTTTTAGTTCTCAGAGTGATATTGAATTTAATGTTGAAAGTAATGCGGGTTTACTTGGATTTAACTGCTCCCTACTCTGTGATTGATCCAGAAAAAGTTGCGCTTTCTATCCAACCAATCAGATGCATAGCTAAACCAATTACAGGTTGGTTACTCGCGTTTTCCCGCGCTTCAAACAGTTTACTTGTTTTACTTTGAGTTTTATTTGGCTCCGTGTGATTTTTCTCCTGGTTCTTATTTGCCGTTGTGATTCTTTTGGTTTTGGTTCTCTGACACTCAACTAAAATGCTTTAGGCCCTTTACCAAACTGGAGGCTACAAACTTAAGCCATTATGTAATTATTGTGCAGTGAACAGTTTAAGTAACATCTCCGTTGATTTCAGTGGAGTTTCAATTGTCAATGTCAGAATAGTCCTGGAAGGACTGTTGTCTGAGTAGTGAGGGAAGTCTCAATACCCTAAGTGGATGTCAACATCCTAGCCAAGTAAAAAGTGAAATTTTTACATGACATTTTCACTTCCTCCTAAACCACGTTGTTAGTAATGGTGATGATAACTGTGAAGATGAAAAAAATTTATTTCCTTATTATAGCCGACGCCCTGTCCCGACTCGTAGAGCGGTTGGTGCTGCTCCTGAACCGCTCAGTGTGGAAGACAGCACCGATGACGGCTCCAGCTCAGATGATGACAGTTCAGCCATATCTCTTCTGGAGAGGATTAACAGCACAAGCACTTGTGTTGTCTCTTTTCAGGTGTGCTACAGAGATTTTACAAGGCGTTCACACTTTAAAAAATTTTTGCAGGCTTTTGGATCCCAGAATACACTGAACATCGAGCATCAAATAAAAAAAAATTGCGCCAGCGTTGATGAAATTTTGGTCTTAAATATGTTGATCGCAAGCATTGATATTTCAAAATGTGCCTTCTTCAATTAATTGATTGATTGATTGATTGATTGATTGACAGGTTAACAGAATCTAGATATTCGTTGCTGGTGATGATTGACTGTAAGAAGGAAAGAAAGAAGAAAACCATCTAGTTAAACAAACTGCTCATGGAAACCTAATTACTGTGCTAACACTTAGCAATTTTTTTTTCCTCTGGTTAGGAGCTGTTGCCATCTATGCAGGATATATATGGTGTTGGACTGAAGGAACCCAAGGATCGAAGTATGGAGGCTTACCAAAGGTACTTAAGTTAACAGATAATTTGGTTTTATCAAGTTTAAAATGGAAATTGACCGCCGTAAAGAGTTTATGAAACTAACATCGCCCTTCGTCGAGCGGATGACCCGTGAGAATTTGAATTAATTGTAAAATATCTGCAACAGCGCGAAAATAAGACCTGTGTTTCCATTTGAGTTAATTTCCTGAGTTTTAAATCCATGTTATCGTGATGATTCCTGAATCAGTATATTTATAAGAAAATCTTAATCAAGGGTTGTTTTTATGCAGGTTTGTTCAATTTGGAAAGACTTCACTACCTGACAAGGAAAATCCTGGAGTGAAACACATCCATTACAATTGGTAAATAATTTACTTACGAACGGTTAACTTATTTTTCACAAATTTTTTTTCTTACGATGTAAACTGCGATGGACGGAAAGAAAACTAATAAACTAATCATCTTGTGTTTTGTTGGTTTAGGGAAGCACACAAACCTTTTGCGTCGGACTGTAATCATAAAGTTAGACTGCCCACAATAGACCGTCCGTCGGAGGCTTTGTACACAGCATACGTTCATGCTGGACAAAATGGTCGCTTTTGGACATCGCCAGTCAGCGTTGACGTTTATAGGAAATACGTCAGTAAGAACTACCAGTGAAATCCAACAAAAAGTTAGGGCGGGTCATTTAAACAAAGTTTAGCCATGGTTTAACAAAACCGTGATCTAAGCCATCTTCAATTTAGCCGAACCTTTTATTCGAACATTTTTTATGTGGACAGTGTCAATAGGGCCGAAAGCTAATTGTGGAAAGACATTTATTTAATTAATTAACCCTCTCATAGGGGATCCCTGAGGCCCACTGATTGCGTAAAACTGCGGTTTGGGTAGGATCTCATCGAAATAACCGGCCCTTACTCCGCAGCCGCTTTCCAAGATGTTACGCAACACCTCGCGTGACATCACTCAGAACGGATGCTAAGGAGACCAACAGATAGCTTGTTTTTGTGCTCTTGGTGTTTAAAAATTTAAAGATTTTAATAAATGAGTAAATGATTTCGCTTTATGATAACGATCTACCGTAATGAGATTAGATATTGTAGTGTATTGATTATAGAACGCGTGATCTCGTTTGTCGATTGGTAGGTTAACATGAGAAAAAATCACACGGTTGTGACGTTTAAATTTGTGCTCATTTTTGAGAAATAGGTCATAAAAGCATTATAGGACTGTTCTTAGCCTTATCCAAATACGCAACATGAACAAACATTTTCGAAAGTTATGCAAACCCTCGACTGGATCTTGGATTCGCTGAACTTTCTTGAATTCTTCCAACTCCTCTCGCGTTTAGGTGAGGCTATATCAACGCGGGAAAGTCCTCTACCATGTCTACTGCTCAATTGTCGATGAATCGACAGTTAAGATAATATTTTTGTTAAGGGATATTAAGGGGAAGCAAGATCAAGGCACTTCTTGAAAATTTCAAAGGTGTGAAATTAAATTAATCAAACCTTTGCATAAATACGAAAAACTGATATTCATGTTTACTGCAATTCTGTCTTCAGCGAACATGGAAAATGTTACAGAGAACATTATCTTACGTATAGACACATGATGGAGATTTAAGGAAATAAAAATTTGTAGATCACTAGTTTGTCTGTAAGTTTTAAAAATGTTGGTAAACTTCTAATATAAACAGCAACTAATTAAACGTGATTAGGTTGTTCTTGGTTGCTTTGCTTTATTTTCTTAGTTGCTTTGTAAGTTTTAGTTGGTCTGTAAGTTTTTGATATGTTGGTAAACTTCTAATATAAACAGCAACCAATTAAACGTGATTAAGTTGTTCTTAGTTGCTTTGCTTTGGTGTAGACGTTCCCGCAATGCTGTTGGCCGCGTATGCTAAAAGTAGCTCGTTGTACGTACGGTCGTACAGTCATACTCTACCAAATTTTGATGGGTAACTAGTACTTTTTACAAGTATAGGGCTTCGTGGCGTTTGCACTTGACGCTCGATTTAAGCTCCGCTATTGAAATCATATACGTGCCTCGAATAGGCGAATAAAACAGTTCCTTCGTCTGTAACATGTTTCGTCGACACTGATGCAGATTGGAAAATAGCAGCACCATTTTAACTCGAAATCAGTGTCCATGGAAAAGAAACACAAAAAAAGTACCAGGAAGTTATGGTAAGCCCAAGTTATAGGCTTCTGTAATGACTTAAAAATGCTGTTCAAGCAAAACCTTAAAGTTTAAGCTCATTTTAGTTTAGTTTAGAAGATATTTTTGAGACTACAACCCTATTCAACTTTTTCAAGTAGAATATCAGTGGAAAGCAAGGCATCCTATTTCGTTATATGATTGAGCGAATACGACCGAAGAACTGTGTCGATTATTTTGAACTCACCTTTTGAAGTCGTAAAACTCATTTGAATTGCAAATAACTTTCAAAATTGATATTCACGACCGCGCTCGGTCAGCTCAGTCTTGCACGTGCAAAGAGCTTGCAAACTACGACAACTTTTAGCGTCTTTTTCAGCTTCTAAGGAGTCAAAAAACACGTCATTTCGACCCTATTACCTTGGATACTATCTGTTCTGTCCAGGTCTGCCAGTGTCTTTATGCTGGATCAAGTGGTCTAGATACCATGTCGAGGATTTGTGCTTTTCACTTTATCGCGTCGTTTCTTCAGGTAAATGGAAAAATGTGTGTGGATAGAAAGACAGTGTTCATCTTTCTCGTTGTGGGCATTGTAAAATAAATATATAAAGTTAAATGTGTCAAGGAAGAGCGTAATGCACATAGCATTGTGCAGGAAAAATCCTAATTAGCAACCGCCATGACAGCTCTTCTTGAACATGACTTCAGTGACAACGCAAGAAGTTGTTACTACTTGTATATTGTTTGTGTACTTACCGCTTGTTTATTCATTTCTCTTTTCATTTCTGTGCATATTTTTTTCAACTAGCTTATGATTATAGCGTTTTGACCTGAAATGCGTTTCAAACGCTCTTGTTCTTTCCTTTACCTTCAATCCCAACAGAGAGAGACGGTAATCGAGAAAGCCTAATAACATAGACTCCAGTATCTGTTTATCAAAGAATTGGTTCCCATCTTTCATACAGAGGCCGCGGAGGGTAGTCCTTACCTTAATCTGCATTGTCAGGAAACCTGTAAATTCCCTAATGCCTTTGTTCAGTAAGAGTAAAGGACATGAAATTTGTCAACAAAAAATTTGGTGGCTATAAATTAAGTTAAATTAATAAGTTTTTTAATTCAGACGTTGACATTTATCATTTAGAACGAATAGCACTCGGGTGCGTAAGTCTTCATAATATATTTGTCTCTTTTTTTTTCTCCATTGGACATTATCAAGAAGAAAATTAGAGCACTACGAAATCAACAACTTCAAGGAAGGAAGGAAATACATGACAACTCCTAACAAGGTCAGATTACTTCCTTCTTTTGCAAAATATAATTTATCTAGGCCTGTTTGTCTGCGTTTAACGATTTTAACCTACCATGAATACTTCTTATTTGTCTCACCACTGTCAACGAAATATCTCAACATAAAATGCTAAGTAGGGCGTTCATTTGATGACAAATTTCGGTCAACCTAAAGCCTGAATGTCTCGGCTCTTGAGGCAAAACACGATGTTATATTTTGTTTTTCTCCGACTAAGTTATAGAATTTTGTTTTAGATCTTCGATAGGTTATAGTCTGGTAAGATCTCACTCTTTTACCTCCTTCAATATAGCTCTTGGAGCTTTAAAATTACTGAAAAAAAATATCAATATGCTCTTACAATTATCTTTTTTTCCTGAATTCTTTTTTACATCTCTGACAAGGTTAATAGTCTTACATTTTCTTACAAGAATTAACCTTTTTTCAATTCAAACGGAAAACCCTTGGAGCCGAAGTGTTATGAAGTTAAGTTTTAAACCAAACTAAAAGTGTATACTCCAAAAGTAGATTTTATTGACAAGTTATTCCTGCGTTTTCCGTCCAATTATACAGAGGCTTTTTTTGACATGATTTAATAAAAATCTTCGAGCCTGAGTACTAACACTTTCTGGTGGTATTTTGTGGTGGTATTCTCCAAATTGATTTTTGTGTCGCAAATTGCTTGTTAAATTTAACATCAACTGACACATGAAGCGATTTCAATAAATTTCTTAGCGACTAATTATTTGAAACGTTTGAGCTCGCAGAACTTAAAGCAAATTGGAAAAGTATGTTCCATTAGTTGACCAGTGCTTGTTTCTCAAATTGCTGCTAAGGTTTATCATCAACTGATGCATAATATACGAACCTAATCATTAAAAATGCTTGAGGTCTTAGCTAGGTTTCAACCAAAGTGAACAGTATGTTCAGAAGTTGGTCATTGTCTCTCAAATTGCTAATAGAGTTTGACATCAACTGCGTCTTTGTGATGCGATTCAATCTCCGAACCAATTTTTTTTAATTCTGAGCTCTTGAGGCTTAAATTAACTGAAAGAGTATGCTCAAAAATTGATTTTTTTGTTAACTTCGTTTCGTGCTTTCCAATTCATTTTAGTGTTAGATGTTGGTACAGTCGGCCGGCTTAAAGATACTTTATCGTGAGAAACTAGCAATAATCAAAGATTTGTAAAGTGCGTTCGATCTTTAGTAAAAGTATTTTTCTATTGTACTAATTGCGCAGAAATATTCAAGGAAAGTGGATTGTAGGGTGCTTTCGGTCAGTGTCATAAACCAGTTGCAAAGTAGAAAACAACAATAAAGTTTAATAGTTCAACATCTTAGTAATGTACTTGATACAATGGTAGTGGCCAAAACAACTAGTAGGACAAAATTGAACAAATCGAAAAACGAAAATATGGAATAGCTGGCTGCAATCTTTCCACCTCAAACGACACCTCGAGCGGTAATTTCACGTACACGTGTAACACCGATTCCAAATATGGCGGCGTGTGCACGAAAGCGAGGTTTTCGGTAGCAACTGTTGCTAAGGCAAAAGCTGTTACTCGTTTCTCTGTGCGAGTGCGAGTTGTTTACAATTTGTTGAAGCGTGTTTTTCGAAGATATTCCCACAGCACACATACAGGTACGGAAAGAATTGCTCATCAATCTTTTTTAAAATACTTGGGAGGCATTTCAAGGTCAGTAGACTCATCCCGTTTTGTTTGCGAAGCCTTTTGTTATGCAAATGTTCGTAAACGGGCGCCATCGAACCAGGGCAATCCATTACAATGTAACTTGGAGAACGTGGCCAAAAATTTTAACAATGACAAAGTATTAAGTTGATATAGGGACATTTTCAAGGCGTTGTGTTACCTTTTTGCTTCTCATTGCTAAGTTCCAGGAACATTCCGGTTAGTTGCAAAAGTTTTAAAACTGAAAAATCAAAACTATTTTCTTACGGCAGAAAATTTTGAAACAGATGAACTTCAGAGCTGAAGGAATTAAAAAAGCTTCGGAAAATGACCGCTTAAAACTTCGTAAAACTAGATTAACAGGCTTTGAGTTCAAAAGGAATATTTCTCAACCGAGTTACATTAAAAACGGAAAGGTTTTGCCTAAAATTGCGCAGATGTGACTAAAATATATGGTGGAACCAAGCGTACACGTAATTTTTATCTGAAGTAAGTTCATACACGTGGTAAATTGTTAAATTTCTTGGGTATTTTCAATTAATCAATCATTGAAGACATAGGATCAGTAGAAAGAACTGTTGACCAATCCCAGCTGACTAGTTCTAGACAAGCAAATTGATATTCCGCCCGTTGATAAACTGGGCACTGTAAATACATGTCACGAAAGACAGCAGCATTCTGCACGATGATTCAAATTATATACTTTCTAAACATATCCGTCCGTAAGCCTTCCTCTAGCTTTTCTTTTCTTGTTTTGAGACAGGAACTCAGTACTACACCTGTAATTTTAACAGAAAATTTGAAATTTTTTGCAGAATAACAATTTCATTAATATTTTTAAATTATCAAATCTTTTTGTACTTACTAAACCTTTAATTATGTTCCAATCTATTGAAATAAATTCGATTTATACTGACGTTTTTGAGGTTAATTAAAAGAAGTAAAGAAAAAACGTATTTTGACCAGCACTTAAGTAGCTCGTTTCGAAGCGCTTTTTCTAGTCCGGTTATGAGCCTACTCGGATATACGCCCTCCAAAAACTCGATCCTTACAAAGTTGTATCAGCCTCGAGTTTATAAGCGGAAGTTAAAGGTATGTTCCCTAAATCTCTCTCTTGAGCTTGCCTCGAGGGTTGCTATTTTATCTGCTTTTTTTTACTCTAAAATTTTCGGAACCATTTTCCTCCTAGAAAGGCCCAAAATATTAACTACATTTTCTTTAGCAAGCATGGAACATTTAGGAAGGGTAAACGAACGAAAACAGAAACAAGCAGAAAAAAAAAAACAGAACGCTGGGAGGGTCATCTATAGACGAGCCAGGTTGTGAACCATCCTGTGAAATTTCACCAATTAGAGCGATTTCTTTTCTTTAAATATCGTGTGCGCTTAGAATTAATCTTTAACCTTTTCCTGAAATTCTCATGGAAGTACATTTCAGAAAAAACAGAAAATGATGATGACTTATGCTTCAACTTGTGGAAACAAAAGGAACGATATCTTGTCTTGCAATTAAACTTGTCGGGTGAATAGTTTTGAAAAAGAAGTGATTTTTTTTTATAAGAGAAGTGTTTCCCAAAGAAAGGTGGATGCTTAATCATGCATAAAAAACCCAGGCATTCGTCTCACGAAGGAGATTTCTCAACTTTGTTATTAGAACTCACCAAGGACAGCCACAATTACCAAGGGAAGCACGCTACAACAAATTAGCATGAAGCATAATGTCATTCAGTTTGTCTTAGGAAAATTTTAGCCCGTAGAATGGATGCCAAAAGTTTTTCATCAATTTCAAATTTCTGACGGGGTAGATGTTGCATAAAATAGCCAATGGACTATTTTTTATGACTGGCCATAAAAATGTTTTGACGAGAAAGTTTTAGTAATGATAATTTTTTAATCCACAAATTTGTTACTGCGTAAATGCATTTAGGAGTTGGACTTCCCAGTTTTACTTATGGAGTGATTGCTTTTTAGCCTGATGGGGACTGCTTAGTTTTTCATGAAGTTGTATGTTAAGAACCTAAACAGCGGACCACTTGATCAAAGTTTCAAAAACCGTTTTTTAAGTCTATTTCAAGATCGTGGTGAAGTTGAAAATTTTGTATCTTTAACGTAGGAGCTATTAACTTAAGAATCAAGAATTTGGTTAAGGTTAAGCGAAGGCATGGCTGTCTGTCTTAATCGAAATATTTCCCACGGTGAAAAAGGAATTAAAAAATAACATACTCTGACTGAAATAGTATTTTGCTAAAATACAAAAACAGAAAACCACGGAGCAAAAGTTGTGACTGCATTTAGTAGGGCGAAGAAATAATTGGATTTCCGTTTTTTTAATTTTTTTTGATTGGGGCGGGGAGTAGGGGAAAAATAATTTCCTTTTAGTTTCCAAGTACCAAAATTTAGTTGGATTACATGTTTATTTCAAGTTCTTTAAGTTTACAGAAATATTTTTATTGTGCAAATTTTGCAGAGCCACTAGTTTTTCTCAATATTTCAAAAAATAAACCCCTGCCCAAGTTTGTTCAAACTAGTACTTATTTTTACGTTCAATTTTACTGGATATAATGCACAGACCCTTCTCCTTCTCCAGATATTGTAATGGTTTCCCATTTATAATTGGTAACTGTTTGTTTCCACCGTGTTTTTGTGGTTTTGTGCAATACTTAAAGCGCACTACACGGCAGCCATTTTATCCTCAGTAGTTTATTTAAAATTGTAAATTTCCTTTTAATCCTTAAATCAGAATATTTCTAATTTTAAGATCTCCGAGAATTTTTGTCTAGAAATTTTTTTTCCTAAGAAAAAATATTCCAGCAGATGTTCTTAGAGATCTTAAAATCAACTCTGCTTCTTTTAAAGATTAAAAAGAAAAAGAAAACTGACCAACGGGGCCCGAGCCCCTCCGAGGTGCTTTAACAATTAAATTAAACGACGGCTGGGGGGATCCAGCCGCCGTTTAATTTGAATTGTTAAATGTGCATTACCGCTAGACCACAGAGGCTTTTGGTAAGAGGACATGGCAAAATTACACTAAAAGTAGGTTCGCTCCCATTGTTGATAGAAACAATAGGTTCACTCAGTACATGTATCACCTTCTTGGGAATGTTAAACATGCACTATTTGCATCCTTACCTATGTACAAAACATATGTTGAACAGCCGTTTTATGATCGACCCACTCTCCTCTAAATAAATGCTCTCTAACTTTATGGTAAACTTTTCAGCCCAAAATAATTCCTGCCACTCAAAACTCAAACTAAACAATTTCCTTACGAATTTAATGCAAAGGGTTACACAAGGGTCGAGAAAAGCGTGCAAACTAGAATTAACATAAAACATTTATTTTACGTACGTGAGATTTGTGGTTTAAACTCTGCATGCAATTATCGTAGTGAACTTTCAAAAATAAAATATTTGTTTTCGATCTCTTTAAGGTTTGAACTCTGACAAGGAAGAAGTTCAAGACATTGACAAATATAAATGAAAATATGTGAATAAATCTTTAGTCGAAACTGTGACGTTTTTGGTGTTTATTTTTTCTTTCTCTTACTAACACTGCAGCTACACTCTACCTTTGAAAGATTATATAACAATTTTCCTCTTCCATTTTTTACTTCTACAGTGTGACAGACTTTTGACTTGCAATTCTTCTACTAGTCTAACAGTTTTTTTTAATGACTTTTTTCTTTTTTACATTACTACTGCTAGACTGACAGATTTTTATCAAAGACTTCAATTTGCACTACCACCGCTAGAATTTGAAAAATTTTAAACCGACTATTCAACTGCACTACTACTTCTACAGTCGACAAATATTTTTAATGACTTTCACCTAAATTACTACTGCGAAACTTTGACATATTTTTAGAACGATTTTTTTACTTGCACTACTACTACTATTAGACTTCGAAAGACATTTCAATTGCACTGCTACTTCTACGCTCTGACAGATTTTGAACGACTATTTTGTTGGCACTACTACTACTACACACTGACAGATTTTGAACGACTCTCTTATTGCACTTCCGCTACTACACTCTGACGGATTTGGAACGACTCTTTTGTTTTCACTACTACTACAACACCCTGACAGATTTTGAATGACTCTTTTATTTGGAGTACCATTATCACACTCTTTTTTTTCAGAGTGTGGTAGTAGTATTGCCAATAAAAGAGTCTTACAATCTGACAGATTTTGAACGACTCTTTTATTTGCACTATAACTACTGCTACTACTACACTGACAGATTTTCAACGACTCTTTTATTCGCACTGTTACTACTATAACACTCTGACAGATTTTGAATGACTCTTATTTGCACTATTACTACAACTACTGCAACACTGAAAGATTTTCAACGACTCTTTTATTTGAACTACTACTGCAACACTGACAGATTTTCAACGACTCTTATTGCACTATTTCTACAACTACTGCAACACTGAAAGATTTTCAACGACTCTTATTTGCACTATTACTGCTGCAACACTCAGAGATTTTCAACGACTCTTTTATTTGCACTATTGCTACAACTACTGCAACACTCAGAGATTTTCAACGCCTCTTTTATTTGCACTATTGCTGCTACTACTACTGCAACACAGAGATTTTCAACGACTTTTATTTGCACTATTGCTACTACTACTAAAAAAACACTGAAAGATTTTCAACGACTCTTATTTGCACTATTGCTTCTACTGCACACTGACAGATTTTCAACGACTCTTTTTCGCACTTCTACTACTACACTGATAGATTTTGAGCGACTCTTATTTGCACTACTACTA